TAGTCTTGGGGAAGGAGACACGATCGCCTGGACAAGAGCTTTATTAGCCTGACGTTTCGGATTCCTACTCGAATCCAGCATCATAGACAAAAAAGCAGAAATGGATGGTTGTTGCTCAATGGGCTACGTTTCAGAAGCTGTCAGCCGCCTTCTCGCATCACTTGGGGTTGGAGTGGCACACAGACCGGAGGCAACCATCAGGCGTCTGGTCATGAAACCGAAAGACACGCTGCCACAGTTAGAAACGTCTGGAGTCGTTTATCGGATCTGGTGCAGTTGCGGACAAAGCAACTACGTCGGAGAAACCGGAAGACAGCTCCGAACGAGAATGGCCGAACACGCGGCAGCGGTGCGGAGAAATGACGCCAGCTCTCAAGTTGCGGCTCATTCGACGAGATCCGGCCACACATTCAAATTCGATGAGGCCGAAATTCCCCCCAAGAGCTGACAACCGCGTGAGCCGGGAGCTACTGGAATCATGGTTTACTGCCCCACAGTCCATCAACAAGTACAACGATCTTCCCATTCCACACACCGAGCTGAAACTTCGCCTAGGCGGAGAAAGTGGCCACACGGGGAGCGCAGAGGTGAACACTTTTCCCAACACCGGGGTCGGTGCGTCAGATGGTCGAGCAATCATCAGGCCAACATCCAACGCACGTGATGAGATTGCAGCAATTATCGACTCGAATGTCGGCCACACCAAGTGCGCCAATCACGGATGAAGGGGGGAGCCGTGAATATCAATAGGTATGCGGTAGCATGGCTACTGCATCCTATAAATCCCGCAGCCCCTTGTGCAACAACCCTCCGTTTCTGATTTTTTGTCTCTGATGATGGATTCGAGTAGGAATCCGAAACGTCATGCTAATAAAGCTTTTGTCCCTGCGATCGTGTCTCCTTCTTCAAGAAGTCGGCTTTGCCAGACAGAATGACATCGCGGGATATCTCCACTGTCCGTCGTGTGACATTAATGACCGCCCCACGAGCGTGTGCCTATCTCTTCGGGAAGCAAAAATTGCTCTCCTCCCCCAAATGCCTAGCTCCGATGAGGTGAAGAACAAACGCTACGTCTACAAGCCCACCCTTCTGAAGATTGAACCGAAAGCGGTCAGTTTATTATCTTTTGTGACATCAATGCCAGCGTCTCGCG